GTCAGACATTCCCTACACAATACTTGTGTAATTTTTTAAAAATTTAATATATCTGCAAACATTTATATCTCTTGTGATTTTCTACTTCATCACCTGGATTGTGACTTCCTTCAGCATAGCAGTGTTCCATTTTTGTATCACACCTAATAAACAGGCATTCAATATGTTCTTATTCAATTGAACTGATTATTGAATTAGATTTTATTCTTTATTTCAACCTAAGATTCCATTCTCAAGATAACTTTGAATCTTAATTTAGCCATTAGTAATTTTACTTATTCCTCTATGTTTTATGCTGTCAGTTTCAATTTATAGTAACCCTGTATAGGGTTTCTGAGGAGTGGTTGGTGTGTTTGAACTGCCCTTGTGGTCCAGTGCTTATCCTACAGTGCCAAACCAGGACTCAAAAAACAAAAACATAAATGAAGCATAAATATGGTATGGAGCCCTGGTAGTATAGTGGATTAATCATTGGACTGCTAACCAACCACAAAGTTAGCAGTTCAAATCCACCAGCCATTTCATGGGGAAAAGATGAACTCCTGTAAAGATTTACAGCCTAGGAACCCCTATACAGGGTCACTATAAGTCAAAAACAACTCAACTGCACACAGCAGCAGTAGCAATAAAAAAAAGCCCAAACCCACTACCATCAAGTTGATTCACAAGTACACTTTGTTGTTGTTAAGTTTCGTGTTACAGAAAAGTTCTTTAAATAACTTACCTGAATTAAAGACAGGGGCTTGCTGGCCTGATAAGAACCTCTTCTTTCCAAATTTGCAACTGACTTATTAAACTAAACCAAGACATTTAGTTCTAAGGAGTCCTGGTGTGGCACTGGTGTGGCGCTGTGGGTAATGCATCAGACTGCAAAGTTGTTTGAATGCAAAGGTCGATGGTTCAAGCTCACCAGCTGCTCCTTGGAAACCCTATACAGGGTTGCTATGGGTCGGAACCAACTCAACAGCACTTAACAAAAACAACATAAGGTGAAAACATTAGATCTTACTATTTACTATTTAAAGATCCTTGATAAGGATCAGATATTGAAGTTTTTCATATATTTACGTCACACTACTTTATAATTGAGTCCTGATGTGGCGCTGTGGACTAATGTGACAGAATGCAAAGTCGTTTGAACTGCAAAGTCGGAGGTTCAAACTCACCAGTCCCTCCTTGGCAACCCTATACAGGGTCGCTATGGGTCAGAACTGACTCGATGGCACTTCACAACAACAACAGTGTTATAATTAAATAAGCCCTGTAACGATTCCTAAATTTATATTCAAATTCTGATATCTGTAAATAAATATCTTATTTTAAAACTATAAATCATAGATATAATATATCATAATGTAGTTACGGAGCCCTAGTGGTACAGTGGAGTCCTGATATGACGCTGTAGGATCAGCAAAGGACTGAGAACCACAAGGTTGTCAGTTCAAACCCACCAGTTAGTCCTCAGAAACCCTATACAGGGTCACTATGAGTGGGAATCGACTCGACAGCACTTAACAATACAAGTGGCACTGTGGGGAGCATGTGCTCCATAGGATATGCACTAGACTGCAACCATAAGGTCGGCAGGTTCAAGCCCACCAGTCGCTTAGAAGGAGAAAGTGAGGCTTTCTGCTCTTACAAGAGATCTAAAGCCTCAGAAATCCTATACAAGTTTGCTATGAGTCAAAACCAGCTCCACAATACTTAACAAAACAATTGGCATTGATGCTCCACAGGTAAAAGATGAAGCTCTCTTTTCCCATAAGGATTTACAGTCTTGGAAACTTGATATAGGGTCGCTGAGAGTCAGAATCAACTCGAAGGCAGAGGATTTGAGTCTATGGGTTTAGGTACTCTTGTCGCTATGCTGTTTCTAAAGTCACAACCATATTTGGGGAAAAAAAAAAAATAATCCTCTCTTAAGTGACAAGTTTTTTCAAAGTAAGGTCCCTAAAGGACAAGTTGAAAGTTTAAATTCCTTCAGTTTAGCATATAACAGTAACCCAATTCAACATCATTGGTACCATTTAGTCATGTTTTCGTTCTCCTGAAGTATTTTGCTAAATGTGGTCTGGAATCCTACATTCTCACTTACTGCTATGGAGTTAAATCAAATCAAGACTAGAGTGAAAGGGTTGGGTTAAAAGGGTGAGGAAGTGAACTGGGGACAAGGATTAGAGACTTTTAGGGAGAAGAACAAATGACATTGTTAGAATAGAATTACTGCCTAAAGGTTGCAGAGGAAGAGAAGCAGCATTAAATGAAACAGGGGATGTGTTTGCAAGAAGCACATACACACACAAAGTCTAAAAAGACAAAATCAGAAGATGTAGTGATCATTTGGTTATTGCCCCCAATCTACTCTCACCCTCCTCCACTCTGCTCTGTTCCCTGGGAGGCTGATTGTATGATCCATGACAACTGACTTCTAACTGGGTATAGACATTGAGGAACACTGGCAAAGGCAGGAGGCAGAAGGAGAATTCTGTTGGTAGAAAAATTTTGTTGGTAGAAGTCTCAGAGTCCTTTCAAAGGATTCTTCTGAGGTTTTCCTTATTCATTGTCTAGCTTTCACATACATACAAGGCAATAGAAAATACCCTTCTTGAATCAGGTGCACCTTAGTCATCAAACTGGTATCTTTGCTCTGTAACACTTCAAAGATGTCCTTTGCAGTATCCTTTGATTTCTTGACTGCTGCTTTCTTTTTTTCTTAAATGTTTTAT